GATTCATCTCCCCCCAGGAGGGTCCGTCACGACACCCCAGACCCATCTCCTCCCAGGAGGGCCCATCGTGCTTCTCTGGATCCTTCTCCCCTCAGGAAGCCTCATCGTCACTCTTCAGGTGTGTCTCCTAGGAAAGCCCATCACGACACACCAGATCCATCTCTTCCTAGGAGGGCCCATCACAGTTCCTCAGATAGCTCTTTTCCCAGAAGGGGCCGAAATAGCTCCCCTGACACATCTCAACCGAGAAGGACTCTTGACTCCTTGGACACATCGCAGCTCAGGAGGGCCCACCGTGACTCCCCTGATTTGGCTGCTAATGCAAGAACCAAAAGCAGTAAAGCCCCGGAAAGAGCCTCCAGCAAAACTTCTCCACATTGGAAGGGGCCGGGACCATCTCATGCATCACTCCCAAAGAAAAGCAAGTATGAGTATAACTCCAACGTCTCTCCTCCACGAAAAAAGCAAGCAAAATCTCATAAGCATGATTCTAAAGGTAAGCATTTGATTGCCCATAAGAGGGAATTAACCCCTGGGTGCTTTCTTTTGGACCTCTTACTTGTGGTCTTTAGAAACGAGAATGGTATTTTTTGGAGTTTTAAAAACTATAGGGAAGTGGGAAGAGGTTGGGCTGAGGAGAGTTAAAATTTACAGTGTCAAGGAGGACGTTTTTATATATCTTTTTGTTTTTCTCCCCACCCCATAAGAAGATACTACATGTCTAATGTAGAAATTTCATAGTGTATAGAGATGCGTAAAGAAGTAGAAGGAAAGTTATACAAAATTCTGTCATTCAGAGCCATTCACTCTTTGTGTTGTGGCCAATGGTCTATTTTCTATGCACTTTTTATGTAGTTAAGCCCTTTCTATGTAGTATATACGTGTAGTATGTATAATTTTGCCTGTTTTTTTCACTTAACGTTGTCTTCCTTGTGTCATAAAAAACATCACTTTGTCGGTATGATCTTTATTGGTGTTCTGTTACATAAATGTGCTTAACCATTTCATTAATGCTGCATATTTTAGGTTATTTCTAAATTTTTGCTTTTATAATTTTAAAATGAACTTTGTACATAAATCACTTCCCCATTCTGGATTATTTCCTTATCTACTTTTAGTTGGGTTTCCTGGAAATGTAAGTACTTCTAGATAAGTTTCCTAGAAAACTAAGGAGAAATTGACTTACTGAGTAAGAGGGATAAATATTTTTAAGACTTTTTTTTTTTTTTTAAAGACCATTGAAGATTGCCTGTTTTGGACTTGATTTATGATGTTTCTGTCTACAACTCAGGCCTGTGTAGTGAGATTCGTTTACTCAGTCTTTGTCCCTAGGTCTTGTTTTCTTTTTTTTTTTCTTTTTTTTTTGAGGATTTTATTTGAGAGAGAGCATGTGCCTGCCCCAGCATGAGCGGGGGGAGGGGCAGAGGGAGAGGAAGAAAGAGACTTCTCCTGACTCTCCCCTTGCAGGGAGCCTTGCTGAGCCGAAGGCAGATGGTTAACCAACTGAGCCACCCAGGTATATTCTAGGTAGTTTTTTAACTTTTGCCACATCACTGAAATCTGAGTGCAAGTTGTTTTGCCCATTCTGTGTTCAGATAAATATGACATAGGTGAGTATATTGAGGTTTTACATGCTAGTCACGGTCACTAGTAGCTTGGGAATAGATCCCCACATCCTGTTTGTTGGTTTTGAAAGTTGTCCCTGACTCTGCTCTTCTCCTGTGTCATTTGCACTTGTGTTTAGGTGAGTGATAGCTCTTTAGAGGAGGACTGAATGAATATTGAATATTAGCTTGGTAAGTTCTGTTTTTAAGATTCTGCCAAGGGGATTAAAGACTTCATTTTTTAATTTCTAGACTCTTCCCCCAGCCATAGGAAGTTTCACACAAGCTCTTTACCTAGGAGACATCCGAGTCACACCTTGGATTCTTCCTCCTATGCAAGTGACAGTCGGAAAGCCTCAGATTCAGATCTTTCTCCTCCTCGACATAAACAAAGTTCAGGGCACAGGGATTCTGACTCAGATCTGTCACCTCCACGAAATAGACCTACACGTCGGAGCTCTGATTCTGACCTGTCTCCACCAAGGAGGAAACAGAGGGTCCAGTCTTCTGATTCTGATCTGTCTCCACCTCGAAGGAGTCAGCCTCTAGAAAAGAAGGTAGGAATTTTCAGGAGCCATATCCTTTCCTTAGAGTGACTTCTGTTTCCTAGCTATGTACATGTCTCAGATATACAAATCAGAGAGGGAGGAGGTAGCTCCTAATGGCATAGTAAATCTAGTGTAGAGTTACCTCTAGAGCTCTTTGCTTCTCTCTGAGGCCAGGACTGCCTATAACCTAGCCCAGATGAACTTGCAAACACCAGGTTTCCTAAGTGCCTTCTGCCTTTCTAGCCTCTTAATTCCACAAATCTCATTTTTTAATAGGTCGGGAAAAACTTCCTCTGAAGTTTTTCCAAAAACTTCCTGTGAACTGAGAACTGTAGTTTACCGGGTAGAGTTCAGAGTACAAACCTTGTGTTAAGCAGGCCATACATTTGAGTCCTACTTCTTCAAATGCTGTTTGTGATATTGGACTAAGCTGTGGAATATCTCTAACCCCCAGCTTCTTCATCTGTAAAACGTGGATAATAGTAGTATGTACTTCATAAGGTTACTGTGAGAGTCAAACAAGTCAGGGTAAATAAAACTTAGCACAGTGCCCAGGCAACGTGAGACATTAGCCTAAGCAATTTTTATTATAAATTGGACTGCGAGTCTGTGTATCCAGAGCTTAAAGAGAGGCATTTAAAATATAAAACAACTTTTAGAAATCATGCCAACTGGGATGTCAGTGTTTTGTTTCATTTTAAATCTGTGATAAAGCATGAATTGCCCAGAGCATCCACATGAACTCTGAGCAATTGTTTTGTAAAGCACACTGGTGCTCGGGACAGAATCTTACTCCAGTGAGCTGGATAAGAAACAGGAATAGAGCCTGCAGTGTGCACATTTCCCTCCAACCCAGACTTTCTAGGTAGGTCTCCTCTGTCACCCACATGGTCCTTGTTGGCTGTCCCAGACTCAGGAATTGGGGTTCTTCTCTTTTGGGGAAAAGAGGTTTGTGTGGCAACTGGACCCTTTGACATTTTATGTGTCGTTTACTTCATGGACAATTTCGTAGTAATCAAATTGAGTACATAGTGCATGATATACTCTGTACTCCATTTGTGGGTCGGTTGTTTATCTTGATATGAAATGGAGTTTAATAAAAAAGGTTTGATCTGGTCATAACTTGTCATGATCCTAAAATTTATCCACAATTGAAGGACCTTGGATTTGCTTGAGTTTGTAGTTGAAATGAAATATTTTATCAGTGTGAGTCTCTACTGGAGAGCTTAGAGCTTGATACGGGTTTCTGAGCAGGTGACCTGAGAGTGTGGCTTCATGTGTGCAGTTTATATACCGAAAAGGCGGAAATATATGCTATGCCTTTTCTTTAATATTCTCTTGGTATGTGTTTCTGTTTATTCTTAAAACTTGGTAGTACTATTAATTTGCCATCAAATTCAATTTTATTTCTTGTTTATTTTGTGAATCTTGTGATCAGTAATGAGAATACAAGGCTAGAGTTTTTTTTGGTTATTGCTAATCATCAGGCAAAAATGCACCTGTGTGTACCCTGCAGTGTGCTGCTACATTGTTTCATTAATGTTGGGTGCTCCCTTTCCATTGCATAGGCTGCATACATGTATTCCGGGGCTAAAACTGGGTTGGTGTTGGCTGACGTGCACCGAGAGGAGCAGGAGCTCAAGAAACGGGAAACCCTGGCGTTTGAAGGTAAAAATGTGAAAGTGCAGAGACCAATCAAGGCGCATGTAGATTTTATTATTATTATTATTATTTTTTTTTTTTTTAAAGATTTTATTTATTGATTTGACAGAGAGAGATCACAAGTAGACAGAGAGGCAGGCAGAGAGAGAGAGAGAGGGAAGCAGGCCCCTTGCTGAGCAGAGAGCCCGATGCGGGACTCGATCCCAGGACCCTGAGATCATGACCCGAGCCGAAGGCAGCGGCTTAACCCACTGAGCCACCCAGGCGCCCCTATTATTATTATTTTTAAAGATTTTATTTATTTATTTTACAGAGAGAGACACAGTGAGAGAGGGAACACAAGCAGGGGGTAGTGGGAGAGGGAGAAGCAGGCCTCCCGCTGAGTAGGGAACCCAATGCGGGGCTCAATCCCAGGACCCTGGGATTATGACCCGAGCCAAAGGCAGATGCTTAACAACTGAGCCACCCAGGTGCCCCTTATTATTATTTTTTTAATATAGTTTATTGTACGTGATATTTTAAACTTTTAATTTTACTAAATTTCAGCTCCTGTTTTTTGCATTATTCTAACTTCTTAGTGGGCCCAAGGGGTTCTTTTCCTTCTTGAAAAAGGTTAGATATTGGTAGGAACTATTTGTAGTCTGGCTGCAAAAGTTTTTATCCGGCATCAGATTCCCAAGTGGTTGATTTCAACTGTTAGAATTATTTCTGATTTTGATACCTGGTATTTATCTTTAAAAGCAGAATTTTCCTTTGCAGCTGAATCCCAGTATGCTGAAACTGTATTTCGAGATAAATCTGGCCGTAAGAGGAATTTGAAACTGGAACGTTTAGAGCAAAGGAGAAAAGCAGAGAAGGACTCGGAGAGGGACGAGCTGTACGCTCAGTGGGGAAAAGGGTAAGAGAACGACTGAAAGGAGGAACAAGACTGCGCTCGGACTAGAAGCTCATTCTCTACTTTTCTGATCAGCTAGTTCATTGCTGTGCCTTCAGAGCTCTTTCAGGAATGGAAAATGCAGTGTGTTCAGTCTCCTTTCTAAGAAACTGATGGATTCCACGCTTTCCGTTGGTGTTCTAGGAATTTTACTCCTGAAAATATGTGGCCTATGCTGCTAGAAAAAGGAGATTCTCTCCAAATGTAGTCGTATGGTCTGTCTCAGTGTAAGAGGGGAAATGTTACACAGGGTAGCAGACACTCTTGATTCTCTTTGCCCAGACTAGCCCAGAGCCGGCAGCAGCAACAAAACGTGGAGGACGCAGTGAAGGAAATGCAGAAGCCTCTGGCCCGCTATATTGATGATGAAGATCTGGACCGGATGCTGAGAGAACAGGAGAGAGAGGGGGACCCCATGGCTAGCTTTATCAAGAAGAGTAAAGCCAAGGAGAATAAGAATAAGAAAGGTGAGCCTTCCAGGACTCACCAGAGATGGAGGTGACCTGTGGAAGGAGAGAGGGTCTTTAGCTGGGCACATGTGTGGGCTTTCCCATACGGCTCTAGGTTCCTTGTGTTTGTGAATTTGGGCTCAGCTCATAGAGATTTCTGTATAACATTTTTTGTTACTTCTGCCACCCAGCTCTGAAGTGAGTTACATAGATAACTAACTTTTCTCTTTCTCTTCTCTCACTAGTGAGACCTCGATACAGTGGTCCCGCACCACCTCCCAACAGATTTAATATCTGGCCTGGATATCGCTGGGACGGAGTGGACAGGTAAGCCTGAATGTTTCCCACGTTTTTATTTTCTCTTCCATCTGGCCCTAACCTTCCCTAACTGTTCTTAAATTACTCTCCCTCACTCTCTGTTCTAAGCACAAATTTAATGACACGCAGTTTGCTTGCTTTTGTTTCTGAGGTCCCCACGTGCCATTTCTCATGCTTAGAATACGCCTCCTCCTCCTTTTTTTTCCTTCTCAAAGCTTTTTAAAGCTCTGGACAAATAACTCTGGTGCTGCCGATAGGATAACCCCCCTTTTTTTTTTTAAGATTTTATTTACTTGAGAGAGAGACAGTGAGAGAGAGCATGAGAGGTGAGAAGGTCAGAGGGAGAAGCAGACTCCCCATGGAGCTGGGAGCCTGATGTGGGACTTGATCCCGGGACTCCGGGACTGTGACCTAAGCTGAAGACAGTTGCTTAACCAACTGAGCCACTCAAGCGCCGTACCCTTTGTTTTTGACATTGGTCACTTCGAGGGATATTTTCTAAGGTTTAGGGGGGATGAGTGATGGGTGGGAGTCTGGAGTCTTTTTTGTGTAATATCTTTAAAATGTAGTTCTTGAAAAAAAAAAAATGTAGTTCTTGAGGCTTCTCTTCAGTGCCTTAGCAGTGAGCTACTTACGGTGTCTCATTGACCCCTACGACCAACATCTACCCATATATGCTAACTTTCTGTCTATTAGCATGATGACTTAAATGTGCTTCTGTCCAAAGTCTGTCCCTTGTTTACATGTTAGAGCCCATCTCCTCTTGCCTACTAAAGGACATTGTTCTAGCATTTAGCCTGGTGATTCTCAAACTTTTTGATCTCAAGACCCCTTTATACTCTTAAAAATTGCTGAGGACCCCCAAAAAACTTTTTATGTGGAATATGTCCTTTAATATTTACTATATTAGAAACTGAACTGAGATGTTCAAAAAGTGTTTATTCGTTCATTAAAAACTTAATAAAGATGGGGCACCTGGGTGGCTCATTGGGTTAAACCTCTGCCTTCGGTCCAAGTCATGATCTCAGGGTCCTGGGATCGAGCCCTGCATCAGGCTCTCTGCTTGTCAGGGAGCCTGCTTCTCTTTCTCTCTGCCTGCTTCTCTGCCTACTTGTGATCTCTCTCTCTGTGTCAAATAAATAAATAAAATCTTAAAAAAAAACCCAAAACTTAAGCCATTATGCTAACATAATTGCCACATTTTTAAAGAAAAATAACATTCCCCAAACAAAGCAAATAGAAGAATGGCATTGATTAGCATTTTTGTAAATCTCATTCATGTTTGGCTTAATACCAGATAGCAGGATTCTGCATTGAGTCTTTTGCACTATGTTAATTGAAGAAATTGAAGAAAATTTAGCTTTAGAAAATTCAGCATTATCCGTAGGTAGTTAGAAAAGGAAGGCATATTATGGTGGGGTTTTTTTTGTTGTTGTTTTTTTGTTTTTTGTTTTTTGGTATTAATATGTTTTGATTAAAAACTCAGCAAGTGATAGTTTCTTAGATGTGATTTGTAATATGGTATCTGGAACCATATCAAAAAACTTGCCGTACTGTTACGTTAAAATCCATTTTTTTTTCCTATTTTGGATGAATCTTTTCCTGGTGCATGATTTTATAACATGATGTACTGGTCATTTGGAAAATATGGGTTTGCTGAGTTTTTCAGACCTGCCAAATGTTGATGCTACACACCGTCAATCTTATATTTGTTAACATTACTTGTTCTCATCATCAAAATCTTTAATGGGAAGCTAGGGTTCATGGTGGCAGATGAGTGTTTTTTGAAATTCCTAATTTATGCTTAAAAGCTTGAATTTTTCATTATGACAAATATCATTGTATTTATTACGTTATTATAGTGAAGCTCACTTTGTACAGTAGCTTTTTTGTAGATTGCATCAGATTTTGTACGTAGAGGGTCAGGTCATTTATGAATGTAGACAGTTTAACTTCTTCCTTTCCAACCCAAATGTCCTTTGTTCTTTTTCTGACCTTATTGCACTAACTAGAACTTCAGTGCAGATGTTGAATAGAAGTAGTAAGAGACATCTCTGTCTTCCTAATCTTTAGAAGATCGTCAGTCTTTTGCCGTTAAATATGTTGTAAGCTATAGGTTTTTTGTAGATTCCCTTTACTGAGTTGAGAAGGTTGCTTTCTGTTCGCAGTTTGCTGAGAGTTTTTTTTCCTAGAAATTCGTGTTGGATTTTGGTTCATTCTTTGATCCATGAGTTACTTAGGATCCAATGAGTTACATTGTTTAATTAAGGAATTTAGGACCCATTGAGTTAGATTGTTTAATTCTAAACATTTAGACATTTCTGGATATCTCACTGTTACTGACTTCCAGTTTAATTCTCTTGAGGTCAGAGGATATACTCCATAATATTTTGATCTTATTGAAATTTATTAAGCTGCATTTTATGGCCCACTATATAGTTTACCTAGGTGAATAATCTATTTGCATTTGAGGATAATGTGTATTCTGTAGTTGTAGGGGGAGCTGTTTTGAAAATTATTTTTTGAAAACAAACTTTATTGGGTCACCTGGGTGGCTCAGTGGGTTAAAGCTTCTGCCTTGGGCTCAGGTCATGATCCCAGGGTCCTGGGATTGAGCCCCGCATCAGGCTTTCTGCTCAGCCGGGAGCCTACTTCTTCCTCTCTGCCTACTTGTGATCTCTGTGTGTCAAATAAATAAATAAAAAATCTTAAAAAAAAAACACCACTTTGTTTTTTAATGATTGTTGATTTATAGAAAATTTGCAGATAGTATGAAGAATTCCTGTGCACCCCTCATCCAGTTTTATTACTACTCATTACATTACCGTGGTACAATTTATCAGACCCAACATTCATATGTTATTAGTAATATACCAAATTTTACTTGGGTTTCACCAGTTTTCCCACTAAAGTCCTTTTTCTGTTCCAGTTCAGGATCCCACATTGCATGTAACTGTCATTCTCTTTAGTCTTCTGTGATCTGTGACAGTTTCAGTCTTTGCTCTTTGTGATCCTGTCAGTTTTTTGGAATATGGTCACTTATTTTGTAGAATGTCCCTCAAATTGGGTTCATTTGTTGTTTTTCTCATGGTTGGACTGAGGTTATTTGTTTTTGGAAAGAATACTACAGTGGAGGAGTGCCCTTCTCATCAAATCATTTTAACCAGTACATCACAGGACATCCCTTGTGATGCTGACCTTAATCACTTGGTTAAGGTAATCAGCGTTTGCCAGTTTCTCTACTTTGAAGTTACTCATTGGTGCCTGGGTGGCTCAGTCGGTTAAGTGTCTGCTTTCAGCTCAGGTCATGTTCCCTGGATCGAGCCCCACATCAGGCTCCCTGCTTGGTGGGGAGCCTACTTCTGCCTCTGCCTGCTGCTCCCCCTGCTTGTGCTCTCTCTCGCTATCTCTGTTGCTCACGTAAATAAATAAAACCTTTAAAAAAAAAATGAAGTTACTCATTTTCCCTTTCTGTACTCTGCTCTCTAGAAATGTCGCTAAGTGCAACTTGCATGCAAAAGGCAACCTATGGGTGGGATATCTACGTATAATATTTGGACTTTTTCTATAAGGATTTGTTTCATCACCTCATTTAGTCAGTTACTTTTTTGGTCAGTAATGAGTCATACGTATTTTATACTGTTGTAGCCTAGTAATATATTATTTATTTTGTTGCTCAGATTGTTCTGTTTTTTAGCTACGGGGAGTTCTTTAAGGTGTCCCTTTTGTGTGCCCTGTCCTTTTATTTTTTGAGCACTCCCTGACTTTCTGACACTGCAGGATGCTCCAGACTCATCTTGCGCTTTCCCTGTGCCAGCTTTAGAACTGGCCGTTTCTCCAAGGGGCCCTGGCTACTTTTAATGGATAGTGGTACTTAGAAAGTAAGATCTGCCTTGTAGAAGTACTTGTTGGTACTTGGGTGTCCTTGTTTCCCGGCCCTGTCAGCAGACAGAGCTCGGTAGTATGTGCTAGTAATCCATGTGTATACACATATCTGTCATCATTTCTGTACCTGCTTATGTATGTGTCTTATACATACATGTTTATATATACAGATACTTGAGTATAAGTCCATGCTCCTGTAACCTACTGTAATTCAGTATTACCTTTTCTACCTGCTTATCCGTAACTTTCCCCTCCAACATTGTGAAACCTGGCACCCACCAGCTACCATCCATTTTACTTACCTCAGTATACATGTAAAACAGCTTCAGAATTGAGAAACGAAATGAGAAACAGATTTCCAGCTCAAGTACAGTATTTATGTGTAGTTACTTTTGTTCTTCCCCTTAAATTTCTAGTGAGAGTACCCTTTTCCAACATAACTTAAAGGGTCAACTCTCTGCCTCCCCACCCCATACTTCTGTGTCCTACATTTGTAGTATAGGTAGATTCATTTGTCATAGTCTGCAGTCTGTCCTGGGTCTCCTGACATCCTGGGTCATTTTTCCTTTTTAGACTTTGCTTATGTTAGTGTTATGTTTTTTTATGGTGTATAGTTCTGTGGGGGTTGACAAATGCAGAGTCATTCATTCGCCACCCTAGTGCTATACAGAAAGTCCCATCATCCTAAAATTTTCTCTGCAAGTCCTCTTTCAGTCAGTTACACCCCCTCCACCAAACCCTTGTGATTACTGTTCTGTTTTCTCTTCCTGTACTTTTGCCTTTTTCCGAGTGTCGCATGAATAGAAGCGTACAATATGTAGCCTCTTGAGTCTGACTTGTTGCGCTTAGCAAAATGCACTTAAGATTCATCCATGTTCTTGCATGAATAGCCCGTTGTATGGATGCATCAGTTTGTTTATTCCCCATCTTTGTTGCTCTTTGTTGCATCTTTGTTGCTCCCAGTTTTTAGCGGCTGTGAATAAAGCTGCAATAAACATTTGTGTATAGAGTTTTACGTGGACATAGTTTTCAGTTTACTTGTGAAGTGCCCACTGATGGCTGGGTTGTATGGTGAGACTGTGTTGAACTTTGTAAGAAGTGACCAGTTGTCTTCCAATTGCCTG